GTTGTTCCCGAAGGAGCTTTGGCCGTTGGCTTCGCCCGATCTATGAGATTAGAACAACACGACATCCGATACATCACGCTCGATCTTGACCCAAGTATCAATCACGATGCCAACGAGCTGAGCCGGGTGCTAGCTCAACTCCTGACCTCAGAGACATTCGACTTTGATCGCACTATCTCTGATGCTGACTATGAGTTTGCTGAGCGCAAGGGACAATTGCACGTGAATCGACTATTCCCTAATGTCAATCTCGAGGAGAGTGTAGCACGCTCTACTAGAAGAAGCAAGCCTGAGCAGACCGAGTTCCTGAATCCTTCACGCCCACTCAAGGTCGAGCTCGGCGTGGATGGACTACTCGAGACCTTCCGATGGGTAGACGACCATCAACATGCGCGCAGCTTGGCACCAGACGAAGTTCGCATTGAGTGTCGTGCTGCCAGTATCAACTTCCGTGACGTTCTCATTGCTACTGGTGGACTCGGCGGTGCTGGGACCATGATGAACGACTGTGCCGGTACAGTGGTCGAGGTCGGCAGCAACATGACATCGCGCTATTCAGTTGGTGATCGAGTCTGCAGCTACTATGCTCAGTCTTACAACAACTACCCTATTGTCGATGGGCAGCATTGTGCAAAGATCCCAGACAATGTCTCGTTTGCGCAAGGTGCATCTTTGCCGATCGTGTGGGCAACGACATATCACTCACTTGTCAACGTTGCCAAGCTCAAAGCGGGAGAGTCCATTTTGGTTCATGCTGCTGCTGGAGCGGTCGGTCAAGCCGCTGTCATCCTGGCTCAACATCTTGGGGCCGTGGTGTATGCTACTTGCGGTTCACAGGAGAAGCGTGAACGTCTTGAAAGCATGGGCGTCGACCCTAGCCATATCTTTACAAGTCGCTCTTCCGCCTTCGGCCCTGCCCTTCGTGCCGCTACCAATAACAAGGGCGTCAATGTCATCTTGAACTCTTTGGCCGGTGAGCTATTCCGAGAGTCTCTGGAGTGCCTCACGTCCTTTGGTCGCTTCATTGAGATTGGCAAGAAGGATTTCCTCGACGACGCATTGATGCCAACCAAGTTCTTGCTTCAAAACATCACCTTTGCATGTGTTGATCTAGTCCAGATGATTAATGAGGACAAGCCACTTGTTCACCGATTGCTCAATGATGTAGTCGAATTGGTGGCAAGCGGACAATTGAAGGATGAAGTAAATCTCCAGCTGTACAAGCTGGGAGAAATTGAGTCCGCCTTCCGCCTCATTTCGGCTGGAAAGCATATGGGCAAAGTCATCTTGACAATCGATCAAGGCGAGACTGTTTTGGTACGTGAAATATCTACTCAACTTCCAAGTTTAACCACAAGAAATGCATACTAATACAACGAAATGAACAGGCTCTTCCAGCAACCCCCAACATTCCAAAGCTCCTGCCGGACGCCACCTATCTTTTGGTTGGTGGCTTTGGTGGCCTTGGAGTTCGTCTCATCAGATGGCTTGCTTCAAGAGGCGCAAAGACTATTGTGACCATGTCTCGATCGGGGGCCAAGACCCCTGCTGCAAAGACTTGTATCGAGGAGATGCACAGTATAGGCGTGACAATTGTCGCCAAGTCTTGCGATATATCTTCCAAGGAGGCTCTGGAAGCTGTGGTAAAAGAGCTTCAGGATGTTGACGGACTGAACCCAGTTCGCGGTGTCATCAATGCCGCCATGGCTCTCGAGGTGAGTAGTTCAACGTTCAATTCTCTGCAATAACTGACTTATGTGATATTAGGATGCCATGTTTGATCAGATGACCCATCAGCAATGGGTATCATCGCTAGCACCCAAGGTTGCGGGCACCCGAAACCTAGATGAGGTTCTGCCAAAAGACATGGACTTCTTCGTCGTTTTGTCTTCTATTGCTGGAATCATCGGCCATCAAGCTCAGGCGAACTATGCCGCAGCCTGTACTTTCCAGGATGCTTTCATGCACTACCGCCGAAGCCAAGGCCGAGCCTCATTTGCGGTCGATGTTGGAGTCGTTAGCGATGCTGGCTTTGTAAGTGAGGCTCCGGCTGTCTTCTCCAACATGAAACGCCAGGGCTTCTCTTTCATCTCCGTTGCTGAGCTCCTTGCGACGCTCGATTATGCTCTTAGCAACGACGGGCCAGATTGCCAAGCCAGCATTGGTGTAATGGCTGAGGCCAGTCCCAACAACGCTGAATGGTTAGAGCAGAGGCGAATCTCGCATTTGGTCAAAGACTCTGCTAATGGTGTGGCGGCGTTGGGTGACGGTAGTGGCGGTGATGCAGATCACATTGGCCACATCAGGAGTGCAAAGACAGCCGAGGAGGCTCTCGAGGCTGTGGGACAAGCGGTTCTAGCAGAGTTGAGCAAGTTGACCGTCACTCCGGTGGATCGAATCCTTCCTCACAGGACGCTGGATTCCTATGGTGTCGACTCATTGGTGGCGGTGGAGTTGCGCAATTGGGTTGTGGCAATTGTAGCAGCCGATGTCTCTCTTCTCTTGATTCGTGAGTCTAGGAGCATTGAGGAGCTCATCCACTTGGTTGCAGGAAAGTCAAGATTGGTCCCAGCCAAGCTTCAGGAGGCTGTCTTAAAGTTGGCCTAAAATTCAGTATAGTCGTGATGGATATTGAGTACAAGAATTGATTATTTTCTTATTTCCTTCACCAAGATGGCTCGTCTAACGTCCATGATCCCTTGGTTTCCAGGCCAATGTCGTACGGATATGAAAAGTAGAATCCGATTGCAGTATCCGTAGGAACCTAGCTGTGCAAACTCACTCACACCCACAGGGTTGATGAGACGGTAGCAGGGTTCATCTCAGCCATGAAGATACATACACTGACGGGTAATTAAGCCCTGGCCCTGGGTAAACACCTTTCGATATCCGTAGACTAGCCAATAACCGTAGACTAACTAACAACGTTCTCGACCTTTAGACGCCAACCAGAGCGTCTATGGGTAGGGCGGGCCAGCTCAAGGTAACAGAGCTATTCCACTAGTGACTTCTGTAGCGTCAAGTACTATCTATTCTAGTGTATCTACATAGTACGGAATAGTCTGTGTGCTACATTGATTCGAGATGAGTTTCTGGTTCTTGGTTTCAGACATGATTGGCTAAAAAGGAAGTGAGTCAATATTCCCAACAAGACGGGTCAAGACAACAACCCCAGATGAACAATACTACGGTGCATTTATCATCAGTGGAGAAAACCCCAGCATGTCGGAAGACTTTGTAATTGAACCAGAATTATGCGCCAATTGAAAATTTTCATTCCATTTGACTCCACTGTTACCTGAATGCACTACATCCTACGACATACAAAGGATGCAACGTGAACTTTCTCGCTGCGTAAGATCCCATCGAGTTCGAGGACAGGGATCAGTGCCAAAGCGGGACGGGTCAGGATGCAAGATTTGTAACGGTGTCATCAGAAAAAACGGTCATATTTACATGCATTGGCCCCCTCGGTCCCCTTCCTCTGCAATTCGCCGGAACTAGAGCCGGAGGATAGGGATGAAAACTCCGCAAAGGCGAAATATGGAGACTAATTCTACGTTAGAGGAGACAAGATCTAGGCCCAAATCCCTACATACGCATCCATATATAGGGCAAACTCTCACAGAAAGTCCCTCCGACTCACTGCTACGCTAGCCAGGGCAGCTTCTCGTATTGAGAAAACATCTCTTACAACGTACATACAGTGAGTGGCGTCGAGACTTGTAGAGTCTTGCCAAATCCACAAACACGAGATTTTGGCCAAAGACTTCAGCATCACTTTCTTCAGCTAATAGCTATAGCTGAATTCAATGTCACTGTTCTGTGTCTATTGGGAATGCAAGATACAGACTTATCTGAATCCTTTATCTCATACAACCCTATTGGCTTGTCATAGTAAACTTTAAGCTCCATAAGTATTGACACTTGTACCACGGACGAAGTAAGGAGATAGTATATATGTGTTAATTCCCTCAGCTCCCCTGTCTTTCTTATAACTACATACATACTCATGTCAGACTCGTAAGGTTTCATGCATCAGAGGGAACCCTATCCTCAGGGTATTAGAAAAAGTTGGCCGATCGAAGCATAAGAGACGAAATCAGTTAGTCAACTTATGCCGTTCAGACTAGGTATGCATACTCTTACGTTATTTATTTTTGTACCTTGTGGTTTGTAGGTCATCTTTTCTATTACAAGTAGCCTCTTGAGCAAGTAGATGTCTTATTTCTCCTGTGCTACGGAGTATGTCGAAAGCATCTACACGCCGTTTTGGTGACTAATAGAATAGCTTAGTTAGTTCTTTAGGATGACGAACTGTGAACGTGCATGCCTGATATGCAATGCAGAGCCACTAAAACTTGCATGTGTGCGATATCTAGGATGTTATTCAAAAGCCCGTCGGCGAAGGATTGACAACCTCAAGGTTTGGGGATATTGGGACTGCCGGCTTACATAGTACATTCGGGACCGAATGAGTTTGGCTTAGCCTGGTCAGGATCATGATCGGTAAGTGGGACGAAGCCATGTAGGTCCCTTATGAGGAAAGTCGGGTTTTGAGACCTCCCTGAAGCGGCAATAGAGGCGGCATCGACTGCGGCACAGCAACGCTAAGGCGGAGCTGCCGAAGCGGCTCATCGAACGGCTTCTACACCCGGCGTCGACAAGTTCATCCTTGCGTGTTTTGGAAGCTGTGACATTCTAGTTAACTACATTTTTTCCTCTACTAAAGATTGAGGGATGCCTAAATGCTTACTATGTAGTAGACAGCCTGGTTCGAGCGGATGCGTAACATCGCTTAAACCCTTGTAGAATCCTTCGTCCGGAGCACACTTCTAAGAATGAAAGAGGTAAACACGTGTCGGATGATGGAATTTTTCTCTGAATTGCACTGAACGATCGAGATGGCATATATGTATTGAAGAATAATCCCAATTGTAGATGCTAGAGCTAGATATAATCTTGATACACTGTCGTCAAACTAATCAATCATCCTGGGAATGAACACTACCAACAGATCGTCAAACCAGCCCCGCTTAGAACGCATGGAGCTCGTGAGTTTGAAATCGATCAATGCGACTTCGCAAGGGTATGAAAGCTAATAGGGTTCATTGTGCGTACAGCCAACGTACGCCGTTTCACAATCTCTATTGGCATCGCGATCTGTCACTTCCCCGCGTGGAGACAGAGACCAGCCAGTACGAGCACCAACAAACGGAAGCCAAGGCCAAGTTCAAGATGGTCACAATCAAGTGACAGGCAAGAGAAAAAGGATAAGCCCAGGACATGCTTCAAAGGAGTCCAGCTCAAGATGTAATGGTCTCGTAAGTCTTCAAATCACAAGCATGTGTACATGAACTCAACTCACCTTGTCTTTAGACACAATACGCAGTTCCGGCATCTTTTCAGTCACCGCGGATAGTCCAGTATTCTCCCCTAAACCAAACATTACGAACCCCGCCCTCCAACGACATTGATGACCTACATGTGGACTCTCGATCAGAACCAGCATACCTAACAGTCGGAGCACCATGCGAAGCACAAATTTGTTCTCCTTGTTCGGTCCCTGGGACTGTCAGACAAATACCGGCGACTCAATTTTTGAATCATGTTCCCAACTTTGTATACCAATCAATCAATAAAGATGCTGCCATGAAACAAAACTACTTCCCAGGTAAGCATACATGCCGCTACTTACGCAAGCCCCTCCCATTGACCTTAAAACTTGGCAGACTCGACTTTCTTTCCAAGCCCAGCCATCACAGATACATGGGGAGAACTTCCTACTCCGGATCTATCTTCCTGGGATACCACCACTAAGCCACACAGTACTGAGAACAGAGCTACACCTATTATCGACAAACATGTGTCGCCCTTTGAAGCCGCTCTGGAAATAGTGGAGGTCGCATCGGACAGGAGTGCCCAAGATGTGCATGATGCCATCAGCACGGGAGATGGTCACGTCGAAACTCAAGTTCCTATTGAAGATCGCTTATCACAAGTTCTAAAGGCTGTCGACGCAGCTGGTTTTGATAGTCTGGACAGTGCCGTCATCGCATACTATCAAAGATCATCCAAAGGCAACGAATGGCTTCGGCAGGAACAGAGACTAAATCGTATGCGACGGCTACCTATTCTCTTGAAGGAGCTCCATCTTGCAGCACAAGGCTGGGGTCAATGGGAGCGGAGGAACTTCCAAGAACAAATCATTAAGAGCACAGAAGACATTCTCTTCGCTGAACTACAAGATCATCTTGCGGCGAGGCGGAGCTCTCCTCACGGCTCACCGTGCAGCGTTGAGCAGAGAGGTCAAGGCCGTCAACAAATGACTGAACATGACACAGATCCAGAGGCCGAGGTAAGTTCCCAAGAAGCATCAGACTCACCTTATAAAATGCTGACTACAAGTACAGCTTCCCAACACATGGACCTTGCTTACGTCTCTTTCGACAAGATACAGCAGCATAGCTTCTCAAGATTTACAAACCGATATGCCAAGATTAGTTAGCAAGTTCCTTGCAGCCGGCTCTGAATTAAATACTTAAAGCATTTTGGCTCTAAAATAAATATTTACCCTAATAAACACAACAGTAAATTATGGGCTAATGCATAGTTCCATGATAGATCACATGTGACCGAGGACTGGTTTGGTTGGAAGGTTGGCTGATGATCGACTGCTGTGTCCTACACGACCATTCCTCTACAACCTCCAATTAGTATTTAAAAGTGATCACAACGCTTAGAGTGTAGAGTGTGTTTATATGGCTTGTTGTGAGGGCTAGGAAGGCGGAGGTCTAGCCAAAATGTCATTGTACTGAGCAGATTGTACTGCACATCAACTTACTCTGTCCGTCATAATGGCCAGCCCGAGTCCTTCCATACTCGTTCTATGTAGTAGATTCAACACTGGTATGATTGATGGAACGATTGGTAATTTAACTGGGCAAGACTCGCCCTAATTGAGTAGAATTTTGCCCATTATCTTCATCTTCAATCTCGGCAGGGTTACCCGTCGAGCGATTTCTATTCATCGCGTTATTTTCTCTACCGCCATTAATGCTATCTTCATGGCCTGCTTTTCTCTGTTGACCTATACCTGCGTTTTGAGGGAAAACTTGTGCCCATAACCAAACGGCCTGATTAAAAACACGCTCGCACGCCGATATCTCGGCTCCGTTGCTCATCATTTGATCCATGGCAAGCTCATCGACGATTAACTTACAAGCATCCACGAACCGGCCAAAGTTTTCCGACTTCCAGTTCTCAATGAATGCTTCCCGGAGGGCGGTTGTGTGTTTATCTTTACGTATCGTTTGGCTGCTATATGCGCTTGGAGATGCGCTCGACGGCAAGCTGTAGGATGGAAGTGAAAAAGAGCTTCGTTCCGGTGTTGGCACCGATCGGGCAACAAATGAACCGGCGTATGAGAAAGAATTATAAAAGAGCTCAAAGAGAGTCAGCTTGTGGTCATATCAAAAGGATCAATCATGAAGCAACTTACAATCTCGACAGCCCATAGCAATACCATGCCCTCAAGTAACGTGGCAGACGCACATGATGCGCTGTTGAACAGATCGATGAAGCTTTTGGTAGCCGGTCTCGGTTCATCCAAGCCCACTTCAAGTCCATACTCGTGCTTAGTAGCTTCAAGGAATTCCAGCTCTTTCTTCATATTGCTTACGGCAGAGCAAAGCAAATCTAAACACCGAAATGTTGAGTCGTGTTCCAGGTTTGCAGTTTCTGGTATACGGATCTTGCCTATTAGCGCTCCAGTGAAAGGAACAAGTGATCGCGAGATGTATCCAATCTGGGCCAGCCATTGATTGAAGGCATTCTCACTCAGCGATCCAGAGCCTGCATGTGCCAAGAAGCTATGTTGAACAGCATTGGTCAATACATTCTCAGATTGGCCAAGCAAGTGTTGGGCCAACGAAGGCGGTTCTAAACGTTGAGATGTACGAGATGGCGAAGGCCGTGGATGATGTCCGACTGACATCGTTGCACTCGGAGGACGATTCGAGAGACGACGGACCATGAGATCAGGGTGTGGTCTTGCACCATTCCATATCGCGGGAGGTTGCTGTTGCTGCGCATTGTGAACCAGGCTTCCACTTGCCAGAAGTTCTTCCCCCTCAGTTGTCGCAATAAAATCCTTGCATTGCATCAAGTGATCTGCTTGACGAGTTGCATTTTTCGCTCGGACGAAGCCACAACTTCTGCATCGGACTCTTGCGCACTGTTTTCCGTCAGACAATTGTTCAAAAGTTCTCGCTGACATGCATGTTGGTCACATACCTTGTGATCAAGACTATCATCAAAGAACTCGTCAAAGTACTTGCTCATGTCAAGCGTTGATCGTATCCGTTGCATGGTAGGGACTTCTGGATTTGGTCCCAGATGGAGGAGATTCGAATTGTCAAAGCCGTAAGACTCAGCGAAAGCTCTCCTACCAGTGGCGTTGTATGGGTTTGTTGGGGCCAACTCTTGACCATTTCCAGCCGCCCTCCACGCCACGTATTCAGGGCAATTCTGGAGGTGCCCCTGACAGTCTTGTCAGTCTGGCTGATCAAGAATGGGGTAGAAAAGATTCTGACCTTTTTGCGGCTTAGGACTTTTGCACTACCTTGCCAGCGACCGCAATGTAAGCACTCAACTGTTTCCCCTAGATTTGCACTATCGACGGGTCTAAACTGTGACATCTCTTAACGACTATTCTTCCGAGACGCCATGGGCTTACATGTTACATACCTGATCGTGTGTGTAGGTGTCGGCTGGGCGGGGCATGGTATCCTGGAGACGATCCAACACCTGAACCGATGAGGGAATGGATAAATATCGTGTCAATTACAAGATGTAAATGTAAATGTAAATGTACGTTCACTTATAAAAGGGCCCGTTCCTTTGCCACGGAGCAGAAGGAAGGGGTGGGTCTAAGACTAGAGTATCAGGGTAGGTTAGTAGCTTCGATGCGGGTGAAAACAAGCTAGCTGTCGCCATGGCCCATGTAATAGTAACGGGGTTGTGTTATTTACCTGTTATTACGGAGGATCCTCGTATACTAGCGGGTACTACCATTACGGATATTAAGTGCCGTTGTTAAGCATTAATCTTCCGGCTGCCATGAGGATCGTAATCCTTGTCGGTTCGTTTTAGGGTCCTCCGGGTATCAGAAGAATTAGCCGGTAAAATCATAAGAGACGAAACTAGCAGGGCAGTTTATGCTATGGATGACCTCTTGTGTGCTAAAGGAAGAAGAAGTGGGCTGCTTAGCAGGTATTGCTTTTGTATTGTGTAAGAACAAGGTTACTTCTTGACGGTGGTGGGAATTTGGTCGACTATGTACATACCTGCTGAACCGACCATTTAGTTATCTCTCCCAAGTCTCACCTCGCACTTTATGATATTGAGAATCGGAGTTCTGTAAGCCAAAGCGTCGTTCCGGATTTAGGAGGGCACCATCAAGTTAAGCTCATGCTACCCACAATTAGCCGCTTAATGGATTCAAGACACGTCAATTCGTAAATATGTACATCACATCTGAGGGCAGACTGTTCAACGTCTTTAGAGCATGGCGATTGAAGGCACCACGGTTGGATAATTTAACAGTATTGGTATTTTGAATCTCTTTTTAAATGCTAGAATGAACTATTGCACAATGGGAGTTGGGTTTTGTTTGACGACCTTCTTAACTCTAAGGGGCAAGGGGCTCGCCGTCCTTGATCTTCCTCGCACCGTACTTCTCGAGACGGATACCCTGGATAGCGATGAAGCCAGTGGTGTCCTGAGGGGTCCAGTTCATGTCGAGGGTGTCCATGCTGCTCTCATCCTCGGAGTAGAGGTTGGAGGTCTCGCTGGATCGTCCGACGACGTAGGCGTTACCCTTGTAGGCGACAAGGCTCACCTTACCCTCAACCTGGCGCTGAGAGAACTTGATGGCGTGCTCGACAAGCTCACGCTCAGGGCTGAAGTACATGCCTGTTTGGGAGTTAGAACATCAAATCTGGGTGTTGTATGTGAGTTTGGCTAAAGATGACTGACCGTTGTAGATGCAGGCTGACCAGTCCTGAGTAAGACGGTCTCGGATGGCTCGCACCTTGGAGTCAAGGACAAGTCCCTCAAGGTCGATGTGGGCCTGTCGGAGGATGGTGAGACCGGGGGTGTCTGTGGAATTAGTGTTAGTGGTGTCTTCAAGTGACTGACTGGACCAAATCTCGTCACATACCGTAGCAACCTCGGCTCTTGAGACCTAAAAATTGTTAGCAAATGATACAATTGATGTTGAAGCCATTTATATCCAAGGTAGACTCACCAATGAATCGAGACTCGACAATGTCGACACGTCCAATACCGTTGACTCGGCCGATCTCGTTGGCCTCCTTGAAGATCTCGAGGGATCCGGTTATGACCTTGCCGCCAACCTCGAGCTTGACGGGAACACCCTGCTCGAAGTGGATAGTGAAGGGGGTAGGCTCATCGGGGGCCTTCATGGGGTCTGAAGATGGACGTTAGCATCTACTAGTCCTGGTGATATCCAAACCCGACTTACCAACTGTGCGCTTCCACATGTCCTTGGGGGGCTCAAGCTCAGTCTGCTCGAGAATCTGACTGGGTCAGTACGGTGCACGAAACATTTGAGAAACGTAGGAAGCTTACACCGGCCTCGTAAGAGCAGTGGATGATGTTGTCGTCCATGGACCAGGGGGCCTTGGGGGTAGAGCTGACGGGGATGTTCTGCTCGGAGGCGAACTTGAGCAGATCGGCACGTCCACTATACGGTCGTTAGCTTGGTCGCGAGCGAGCAATTGGGGACGGTAACGAACGCGAATCGGTTGTAGAACTCAGGCATGCGCCAGGGGGCGAGAACCTTGAGGGTAGGGTCGCAAGCCTTCCAGGCGAGCTCGAATCGAACTTGACTAAAAAGATGTAAGTACTATGCCAGAGCTATGTTGAAAAGAGAGGCGTACTCGTTCTATAAATGTTAGCATGACAAACTTGACTAGTGGAATTGAACAACTTACACCCTTGCCGGTACCTAAAGAGATAGGAAACCCGTATTAGCAAGTTCTCCATACAGATAGCTAGCTCTCAATTGAGCAAAAGGTCGCTTACATCCGTGACTGAGAATTGTGCAGTTGTGCTCCTTGGCGACCTTGACCATGGCCCTGGCGATGACGGGGCGGGCAAGACTGGTTCCGAGGAGGTCTTCTCGATGTTAGCTGGATCTTCAATAAGAATATAAGTCGGATATCGCGTCTTACATCGGTCCTCGTAGATGGCGTTGCCTATAATGTCGAGTGTCAGTAAGCTGTTGAGCAGCCAGAACAAAAGGGATTGGACGTACACTGGACAGCAGGCCAGACAAGCTCGTCGATAAGCTCCTGCTGAACATCGAGGATGATCATGCGCTCAGCACCGAGCTTCTCAGCCTTGGCCTTGACAGCGTCGAAGTCCTCCTCCTGACCGCAGTCGGCAAGGAAGCAGACAACCTGGTAGCCCTGGAGGACCAACCATCGGAGGATGGTGCTGGTGTCGAGACCTAATCATATGGTGAGTATCGAAGTCAAGGCGACTTTTTAAAGTTTTGCTCGACTTACCACCAGAGTAGGCACTAGGATTGGGTTAGCTATCAGTTGACTGGCTACCTGTAGAGGAGGTATTCTGGCTGGACGAGAGAGAGAACTTACAGGCAAACACGTTCAGCAGCCATTGTGATGATTTCTTGGTGTCAAAAAGTGACCTGAATAGGCAAGTGCGAGAGATGGACCCAAAAGTTTGGTACGAGAAACAAAGCAGCTCGATATCAGGAATGGAAGTCGGCAAAGGTGCGGGCAGAGCAGCAGAGCAGCAGAGCCTTAGAATAGTATCTCCAGCTCCGAAGACGGCCCCTCCACTCGAGTCATGACTTTTGTGGGGTCTCTTCGATATCATCAGGGCCGCTCAACCCTACCCATGTCTCAATTTGGGACTCAATCGAAAGATTACTGGATTTACTGAAGCAATCATGGATGAGATTGGATAGTGAATGAGTCGTGTGGATGTCTCTTTGTACTACAATTCACTTCTACCTTGACTCAACAGTCAGTACTTGGATCCAGTCCAGACATCATCATTTAGCTATTCATCTTGGGCAACAAGAGAAGCAAGACTTCTACAATCTTACAATGTGTATCTTTTCAATTTCTCTACCATGATATGACTATACTCGTATCAGCTGAGCTCAACGCCACTATTCCTCCTCATGAGCAGAAAAAAAAGACCCCTCAAAAGGCGGGAGCTTAAAGATTAGTAGCACCAGTGGTGGGGGGATAGAGTACCTATCAGTGACGTATAAGCAGATAAGCCCAACACCCCGCAGTTATGGAAAGACCGCGTGATAAGCGATAAGCCGGTCTCAAGCGCCTGTTGATAAGCCGTTCAACTTCCGCGACTTTCTCCACAAATTTCCCCAGACACAAGCAAGTGACGGCGAGTCATAGTATTCGTACATCAACAGATCAACATCAATATTTCTGTTTCACTCCTCACCCGACTTGTCCGAAAGGCGCATATCAAAAGGAACAAGACTCCTTGTGCCCAGCCGGCTGGCTCAGTATGCTGCCATGATTTCGTCTTCCGCAAGGTCAATTCGGCAACGCATGCCTACCGCCTCTGTAATTCTCCGATCATGTTCTAACCCCAGCTTACAACGATGTATGTCTCAATGGAGGGGACCTAGACAATCGCAATGGGTCTACAGAAGTACAGGAACTATAATGGTGTCAAGACGGAGTATACATTCTCAAAAGGTAACGGATGATGAAATTGCGACTCTTGCCCGTCTCCATCAACATCCACTATCCCTGGCGGACCTGGTGAGGTATGTTTCAACAGTCACTCTTATCTACGTAAACTAACTAAACCTAATCACATAGACACGGCCGTCCACCTCTTTCATCCGAATCTCTCCTCTCTTCCGCCAACTTTGCACTCTCCCTCCTCCCAGTGCGCCTCGCCCACCGTATCCAAGCTCTACGCAACCTCCCCTACATCGTCGTCGCGAACCCAAACATCTCTCGCATCTACAACAACTACCTTCACTCTCTATCCATCCTTCTCCCCTACTGGCACGCGACCCGCGAGGGACGACCAATCTCGACCCTCGAGGATGAAGTACACTTCACCAATGTCCTTGCCGAGCTCGTGGCGACGCATACGGATACGATCCCCATTCTCGCAAAAGGCTTTCTCGAATGTCGGCGATACATATCTCCCGAGGAGGTAACTCGATTCCTTGATCAGCATCTCCGCGCTCGAATTGGTACACGACTTATCGCAGAACAACACATCGCACTGCACTTTAGTTCCCAGCCGCATTTCGATCCGAGTGCCAGCCCAACGCCATGTCCTGAACACCCTTCATATATCGGAGTCATTGACACAGCTCTTCGTCCAGCGCAAATAGTGGAATCATGTGCTGGTTTTGTCGCCGACATCTGTGAGCTACGTTATGGCGTACGACCTCTGCTATACATCCGCGGCGAACCGGACACGACGTTTGCATTCGTGCCTATGCATCTCGAATACATCGTCACCGAACTTCTCAAGAACGCCTTCCGAGCTACAATCGAGAACAGATCCAACGAACCAGTAATTGTTACCATCGCTCCAGAGCCAGCTTCGCCTAAAGATTCGTCAACATCCACTTCAAGTCTGCCTGCCGAGAACAAACAAAGCGATACGAATACGGAAACCATACGCCCTCTCGATGACAATGCCCCAGGTGTCACAATCCGTATTCGCGATCGCGGTGGTGGCATCCCGCCAGAGGTCACCCCCAATATCTGGTCATACTCATTTACAACTTTCTCCGACGACGTCGACGATTTCCCTGGAGACGCCAACGGCAATGATGGCGGGCTCAGCGCCATATCCACTGCTAGCACTGGTGGCAGTTCCATCGCTGGTCTTGGCTACGGATTGCCTCTGAGCAGGGCTTATGCTGAATATTTTGGCGGGGGAATTGCGGTGCAGAGTTTGTATGGATGGGGAACGGATGTGTACTTGCGGTTGAAAGGCGTGGGAAACCTGGATAAGCAGTAGTAGATAATAACCCTATTTTGGATGTAAGCGGAACTTGCCAGGTTACTATGGTATGACATGAGGAGTTGTGAGATACGGCATTGTATCTACCCATCAAGATATGTTGGAGGGGTAGACTAATTCTATGATCGATCAAACATTAAGCTCAACTTTACAGATCGGTACTTACAAACTGTGACTCTTATGATGCACGTTACGCGAAACACGACAACCAGACGACATTGGCAATTTCACATATTTCACAGTAGACCCGACAAGTCAAGGGTACATCACATGGAACGTGGATTTGGCAATAGATAGCATTAACGTAGGTAAGTTATTGAAACAAAAACCAATAGCCAGCCATTGTACCATTAAGAGATAATAAGAGATGTAACATTTTTACAGTAAACCAATAGTATAAAATTTCCAAGGAACGACTCCCATTTCTGCCCATTAATATCATCAAACGCCCGCCAGTATTCTCACTTTCTCGTTTTAAGAACACTAATGTTTCCATCATGCTCTGGTTTTTGCTAGCAACTCTACCCGAGAACAAGTAGATGACTTTGCGACACGCTGTATAAACCCAGTAAAAGGTATGTACCCAAGATTAGAGTATAAAAACACAAATTTCCACATTTCTCTAATATTCAAATCACATATTCTCGAGCTCATGGTCAATCTGTCGATCCATGAACGTGCGGCGCTCGCCAACAAGCTCGGTCTGGAGACGTTGTTCCACAAGAGCGCGGACTTGCTTCTTGGTCACGGTATCAAGATCAACCTCGCAGAGAACAGAGCGGATTGACTCAACGATAGCCATGTCGGTGGGACCGCCCTGGCCGTGCTGGAAGTCAAATGATGACTGTGATCGCATGGCATCAGGCATAGGAGAGCGGGAGCCACTGCTGAAACCCAGAGCAGTGCCTGATCTGCTGTGACCGCCACCGGTAGCAGGGGAAAGGTTGGCCTGGCCACGAAGGTTGGCAACACTGGGGTGCTGGCCAGGGTAATCTTGGTACGGTGACTGGCTGCGCATATCCTGGACACCTGTGCCCATAGACATCATGGATTGACGGTGCTGCATGGGTGATTCTTGGAAGCCCATGGTGGATGTGCGGCCGTTGTTGAAAGCAGGAGAAGGAGGCATGTAAGTGTTGCGGCCGGGCATGCCAGTCAAGACAGAGCCCTGGGGACCGGCAGAGTACACAGACTTGATCTCATCAAGCTCGTAGTTGTCGCCGTAGGAATAATCAGTCTTCTCCTGGTAACCGCCACGACGTCCGGGAAGGTTGTTGGCCATGGCATAGTCGTCCCAGCGCTGCAGAGGAATAGAGCGAGGATCGAAGCCCTCATCGTCAACAGCAACAACCTGCTTGTCACCCTTCTCTCCAATGACGATACGGGTGTTACCCCACGAGAAGTTGTCCTGGTTCCAGAAGGAGTAGAGGGGAAGGATGAAGGAGTAGATAGGGAAAGCAAGGATGTAGATGATCATCCATCCGATATGTTGCCACTGTCTCTTGAGAATGAAGATGAGAGCCTGGAGACCATAGACGGCAGCAATCATAGCAATAGAAATGTAGGGAATGGGTCCAGTGCCGGTAGCCAGGATGTAGATGAGGTAACCAATGTAGACAGTGGTGGAGGGGAGAATGATAGTACCGCAAAGATCAATAAACACAACGAAGCGCATACTGAAACAGCAGAAACCACAGAGCTCCTTAAGTTGCATAAGTTCAACCAGGTTGTGGATGGTCGAGTTAATCCATCGTCGACGTTGAGACAATAAAACACTCCAAGACTCAGGAGCAGCAGTCTTGCATTGAGCATCGGGGATAAACTTGTAGGACATCTCGGGGAAGTACTTGGTCATAAGGGTAGTGAGATAACGATCCTCACCAAGAGACAGCAGGTTCTTCTTATGGAGGGTGTCGACGTCGCAAACACTGTAGTCCTTGATAACACCGTCAGAGATAATCAGGGGCTTGCCCTTATCAACGCTTCGAAGACGGTACATAGTGAAACTGGGACGAGTTAGCTAGATCAAAAACATCAAGGTCAAAAAGAAACTTACCATCCAGGCAAACAAGTAACACTGCCGAAGAGAGACTCGAAAGCCTTGGCAAGATGATGAGAAATGAAATACTCGTAAACTTGGATCATGGTCCACCAAGTCTTCTCATCGTTCTCCAGAGTGGTTTCACCACAAATACCAGCAATCTTGGCATCGTGAGCACAAGCGGCAACAAGACGGTTCAGAGAATCTTCCTCAACGCAGGTATCGGCATCAACCATGAGAAGGTACTCGTACAATTCAGGGTCCACACCAATGATGTTATTGACCTGATGGAACATCTCGAGCTCGAGGGGAGACATAGGGGAGCGGTGGTGGACACGGTTGAGGAAGCTCATAAGGAGAATCTGGGAGTCACGCTTTCCACGGTTACCAGGCTTAGACTTGGACTGTTCAGACTCCTTGCCAACCTTGACGACAACGATGTAAGGAACAACGTTGCCTTCAAACTCGTACAAGCCAGAGTAAACTTTGCCGTAGTTAAGCTGCTCGGCACTGTTGCCAACAGACTTGAAGGGAAGCGCGGGAGGATCAACCTTGGGATCAACGCCGAGAATGTCGAGGACAATCTTGGGTGTAGGACGATCGTTACCTTCACCAACGACGACACCATCACAAATAACGCAGATAAGTTTACGCTTGTTGTCGTACTGAAGAGCCGTCAAAGAGTCCAGTGCCTTTCGAAGAGAATCTTCGCCCTCAGTGTAGACAGGCACCTGGCAGATAACAAACTTATCCTGGGGCGAAGGGCGTCGCTTGGAACCGAACTGTAGAGCAGCGAGGAACTTGACACCGGTGACGATACAGATAATGACAGCAAAAGCCAAAAGAAGCCAGTTGTTGACTCGACATCGGGGAGAGTCACGGAAATCGGTGATACCTTTGAACGCAATGTTTTGAATACAGGTCCAACTGTTCTTAAGGTTGGCGGCCACAGTTTCGTTCTTTGCGTTGGCGATGAGAGAGTCAAGGTCACTCTTGATGTTGGTACCGGGGCTGTTCTTCCACAAGTTGACCATATCCTCGTTAAGGAACTTGTACGTATCAAAGTTGTCGTGGACATCCAGAGTGTTCAAGTAGTCAGTGAGGTCGTAAACCTGGTTGCCGTACATGGCCCATGGGTGTTGCTCGCTACCCTCACCCTGGCTCTTGACAGTGCTCTCTTTCCAAACAAGGTCACCATGGTAGTATTCCTTGATCTTGGGCTGGAACTTCTGCCAGAACCAGTCAGGGTCATTGAGGGCACTGGTACGGTCACGAGTGTAGAAACCAGAGATATGTTGAGCAAGAGGGTTGTTGAGAGTCTCGTTGTAAGTGAGCTGAACGGTCTCCTTGATGCCAAGGCCTCTGCAGGCCCTGTTGAGGGGAGGCATGAAGTAGTTGTCCATGACCATACCAGCGAGAGGCAACATGTTCGTCTTGGTGGTCTTGATGCTGGTATCACTGTGCTGCTGTCGCCAGAAGTCGGTGATATCGTAAACCTTGCCAAAAATAGCAACCCAGAAAGCGTCTTCGTCTTCTGCATGACCAGCAACCTCCTTGACGTTCCATGCTTTGTCGGCGTTGGGGCACAAAAGCTTTCCAAAACCGATAATCCAGAAGATAATCAAACCGTTAAGGAAAAGGATAATGAAGAACAGAACAAACTTTTCACGCCAAGCCATACGGACATCAGGTCGTCGCATGCGTCCAACAAACTTGAGAAGAGGTGAAGGAATCCAGAAAGTCATGGCCCAAACAAAGCCAACCCAGGCCCGTCGGCCAAACGTCAGGGGCTTGGTTTCGATCTTCTTGTCCTTGGCAAGCTCTCCATCAAGCACACCAGTGAACTCTCCATCCTCATTATAGTAAACCTGTCCCTTGTAGGTGTCACCCTTGTTACCGAGACCGTAGTCACCGGCGGCGGGCGGACCGCTGCGCATGGCAGATGGGGCAATCGAAGGTGCTGATTGAGGATTCAGGTGAGGGTGTTGGTTGAAGGTAGCTTGGCTCATGTTACCTTGGCTGAAGTTCCGGGTATGCATGAGGTGATCATTGCTGCCATTCAAGCTGTTGTCCATAGCGGGAGCAGGGAAGAAGCCGCTACCATTAGGTGGGTTGGCTGAGTAACTTGTGTCAAAACCGGATGTGAACGGATTTTGACCCATGCTTTGGAGACTATGGGCGGGCTTGATGTCAAGCATGCTCTCTGCCTCCCACCAAGGACCCTCGCGGACCCAGATTCTCTCCTTGCCAATGAAGACTTCACCGTTGCTCCATCCTCTCTCAAGCATCCAGGTCTCAATGCCGTCCTTGCCATCCTTGCAGCCTAGTGCACCGTAACGACCAACGAACTCATCGACATCAAAGTCGGCTGTGTAGTCGAGACTTCGGTTGCGACGGTTAGCCCACTCGGGAAGTCGCCAAGAACGAAGCTGTCGAGAGATGGTGCCAGCTGACCACGCGGAGGTGATGGCGGGGAGCGTAGCCAAATTGGCAGGAGAATCATCTGTGGGGTGCAAAGAAAGGTGAAACCAAGCACGGCTAGCACTCAGAAGACCTGGTAGGTCAAAACGACCGGCTCGGCCCAAATTGATACCCTGGCCCTCGACGGGAAACAACAACTTCTTGATGAAGCTGTCTTCCTCAGAAGCATAGGCAGCCTTCTCCAGAATGACTTCTCGCCTCTCTATATCATGTTGGCGGTCTCGGCCCTGAGGACCGGTCATGATGCCCAGATCAGGTGCGACGTCGGCGACGGCTTGCTGCATCTCACGAACGACAGAAGACGAAGCCGGGGGGATCTCGACACCATCTTCAATCATCTCAGCGTTGATGCCCAGAGTGTCGTCGAAAATAGTTCGCATGGCCAAAGCCCTGCCGAGAGCGGGCTCAGGCACCTCAACAACGGTGATGGCAACAGTGTCACCATCCTCGTTTTCATTAGGGGTACGAACGCCAC